CGTGGCATACCTTATTTGGACTGATTGCTACGAACGTTAATTCACTCAAAGTGCATTTTTGGTTAATCCATCTTTATTTATCTTTGGACGATAAGTGTTATCACTTTTCAAGAATGTTTGACAGTAAGATCATGTTTGATGATGTGTGTTAATTAATAGTGATAAATGAGCTAAATTTCTAAAGATATATAAATAACAGACTGGCGTCTAGACATAAGTTGTATGCTTATCTCGACCAAGTTCTGATATTTTGAACATTACATTTTAAAAGATATATTTCGTTTGCCCTGTTGATCCTGATGATATGGACACATCACCGAAGCAAAGAAACAATTAATGAGCTGTCTTTGCATGGAAATTCTTCTCGTGGTTTTGTTCTGAACATGCTTTAATGTCCAAAATGAGTGAGTTAAGATTTATAGTCACATCGGCAATATTTCAGCCATATTGTGACTTAAAAAATTATAAATTGATAATAAATGGAATTAAATTACAAAGACCTGTCGACGAAGGACGGTATAATAGCTAGATTACCACAGATAAAAACAAAACCAGTATTCAAATCTAAAACATTTTAACTATAGAGGACAACCCAATATAAAAGCAGGCTATATTTTGCCAACAACTGCAGGTAGTTGACCATACTAGGGACTTACAGTGCCTTTGCAATCCTAGTTGGATTTACACCATCCCCTCAGATGTTAGTAATTTTGACAATCTAGCTATAACTTTAAATAATATATATACTGCACTTACAAATAATAGCATGTTTAAATTTACTTGAATTGTTTTGGGACTTACATACCCTCTCAGGAGGACTTCATGTCCAAAGACTCAGAGGGACCATTTATTATTGATTGTGTAGAGTGAGGTGTACACACAGCCACCGCGACATAAGGAAAGAAACTAACATTCCGAGGATTATTTAAGCTAAATACAACTGTGACAAAGGAACCAAGGTGAAGAGGTCCACCAGCAGAGATAAGGAAAGCGATCCTATTGTCATGTGTCCCCTGGCAATTGTTTCAAGGTGTATACATCTCAAGTTGTCCCCCAAAATGCCTCAGCTATGTCTCACTGATGTTTAGTACCCTTGAGGATTGTTTTCATCGTGATAACAATTATCGTAGTTGTTTCTCCCAATTCCCATGTCCATTTGACAAAGCCATGTTTGTTTGCCCTTACACGCCTTCTGATTGTTTTGTCATATTTTCGCACATAACAATCATTGAAAATGGTGGTGGAGAAGTCTTCATGGAGGTTACAGAAAGGGGCGAGTGGTGACGAATGCTGTCGATGCCACGTTTGTTTGTAAACACTGAAAATTGTCCTTTCAGTATTTCCATGTCTATGTATATATGACCCTACCAGATAACGTATGTACCCATTCGCTTTATGCAGCCAAGAAACCAACTCTTTATAAGATAATAATAATGTTCTTGAAAACAGAGTTAGCTGAAATATTACAAACATTTCTCGAAGGTCCGTCGTTTGGGATGAAGTGCGTGACGTCATCAATTTGCGCCTTCGAAAACTCAACATGCGTGGACGGCGTCTGCGGATGCGTGACGGGAACCAGCTATGACGTCACGACTGGTGACTGTCTGATTCGTGAGTATTTATCACATTGAAAGTGAGTCAAATCATCATCCCATGATTCCAAGTGATGTTGACTAGGTTTGCTTTTGGTTCCTGATTTTAACAAATGTCACTAATAATCATTTTGTGCGTGCAATGCAGCATGCAAGGCAGAGACTGGTTTTGTGTGTATCAAATGTGGAGTAATACCACGTAGATGGCACATGCAACCTCTGTGACACACCCGCACTGGAGCTCCCTGAGGGGGGACCTTGAGTTTGGTACCAGTGTTAGTATTAACTGGTCCCTGTGCACACTAACGATACTGTGTCCATGAACCAGAACGGACAGCAAGATGCTGGACGCAAACAACAATCGCGCTAGTTTTAAACGTCCGTGTCTTGATTTATCATCTTTTCACTATGGTTTTTGCTTCAACATCATGAGAAAAGCATGTTGTCGCATATTTTGCTGTTTTGTTTTGCAGCTTTTGTGACTGGGGACATATAAACACCACACTTTACCGAACTACGGAGAACGTAGTAGCAAATGTCTAAGCTTGTGTGCCCAGTCAATTTAAATATTTATCTTATTTGTAAAAGTGACCTACATCAGTTACCCTGCACTAATGTGTTTTGTTTAATAACACGTACTATACTGAGGTGTCACGAGGATAATAAGAGATAAAACATCATACATTCAACTGCCAACGTCTGCATCTGGAATAAACAATTCTATACCACCATTTACTGTTACTTATCATGTATTGTCCATGCATTACCTACAACACTGGATATGTTCAGGCGCGTGAAGTTCAGATAGCCGTTTCGGTCAACTTGCACCTTTCTGCTTTTTAATAGTTTCAAAACAATGTGTCATTAACATAATCACCATGCTCGTCAACTGCTAATCACTTACTCACACCAACTCACGCTGGTTCGGATGAGTTCATGTTTGTCACGACACCTACCTTGGTGACCCTTCAGTATTGACGCTGAGTGTACAATGGGATCTATATTAGAGCTGGAAAATGTGGTGAGCAGGCATTCCTGCAAATGGCTTTGCAAATTTGTAATTTTAGCGAAGGTAAGGTAACATATCAAGACACTGCAGGACTGCGTATTTGTGAATTTATGTTTTTATTAGAGTGAGTGTTCTACATATTCTAAATATTCAAGAAACAAATTGCTGTTATTTTGTTCACATGGAGTTTCACCTTAATAAACCTTATTAATTACAATTTCCTGTTTCGTCAAACCACAAAAGCACATTCTTGTGTCAGTCGGAAAAGCTAGGCTGAAGCGGACACGTCCCTTAAAATGAAGCCCTTGTCTTCTTTCATTGCAGTTCGGAAAGAAGTTTAAGATGCCTGTGATGTACATATGATGTACCATAATGGCAATAAACATCTTACACACGCTTTTTGGAAGTATTGGAAATCAAATTAACAAATGTTATCTCGAGGATAACACTTTGTTAGAAGAGTACAAACACCAGTTGAGCTTGTGTTCCAGTGTACCAAATGTGAGTGTTATGGTTAATAATTTGCCGTGAGCCGTGAAACAATGAGCAAGCTACAATGGATGACAATTCAGATTTCTAGTACAATGCAAATGTTAAAAGTCTGTGTCACTAACTCAACAACCAGCCTTTATATAGCTCTTACACAGTTCTCGAGCATTCCAGCAAAGCTAGGTTGTATCACTATTCTCTCAGAACGTTATGGAATCATGTGGAACACACGACATGACAAAACAAAATAAACAAGCCAAGGGAGGCAATTCTGGAGCGCTATCAAAACGGCGTGCCGCTACAAATACTATTGCCTACACACAACACTTTAAACATTGTGACCCATAATAATAATCACTTTATCAATGTGATATTACAAATTACAAAAAACACTCTCATAACAACGGGGGATTACACTGTGTTAGTAAAGTACAAAATCAAGGTGTATTTTGGGGCCTGTGTCTTTAGCTGAAACAAATTGATTCACAGATAAATCTTTCTCTCGGTAATCCATGCGATCACAGATAGTTGGTTACAGTGTAACAATTCAAATTAAAGTTCATTCAATGTTCAACAACACAGCGGTGTCAGCCCGGAGGTCATTTGAGATGCTCGCTGGTTCTAAAGGTTTTGTGCCAGTTCAGTCAATGGCAATGTTTATTTCATGTTTGTCAATTTCAATCAAATGCAAGTAGCACGTGGCAGTTCCATCAGACTGAACAATCACTCCAATGTACAGTGAATGTAATGTGAACTTTCCCATAGTGGACATTAAATATATAACGTTTCAGCAACGTTAACAATGCATAGGGACACTTATTTACCATAGTGTGGTGTCGCCCATAGCTGGTCCCTTGAGGTTGTACTGTTTTCTCTGGAGGTTCGGCATGATGGCGTTGTATGCAAACCAGAAATAATAGTCAGTGAAACTTGATCAGCTTCTTTGACCAGTGTAGATTGGTAGTTTGTTCATGACCTCTAACGATGCAATCAGCAACGCTCCGGCTTCGTGACGTCAGACACAACACTCAAACCAGACAAAATAGTCATTGATAATGGACTAACGTCATCAATTTGTAAACCTCAGTATACATAGACCACCGGGTGCATACAACCTGGCCAATGCAGTAACCTATTTCCTCGTGAAGCAGGCTTGTGTTGCTGTGTGGGACATTCTAACCCCGTTATACGTCCCCAGCAACCTATGATTGTATCTACAACTGAGGCAATTCGAGGGTCAAGCTTTTATTCTTAATTTGCTTGAAAGCTCACAGTTGTGTCCGCGGGGAAGTGGTGTCTTGAACGCGTTAATATTATGAGAGTGGCATTAAACACTCAAAACACTTTGGGGAAACCAGTATATTTTAAAGACACCTGGATATTCCCCCGGCGAGGTTTGAAACAAAAGAACAACTGGAGAAATTGTTAAGTAGTTTGGGCGGGCGTTAATATTTAAATCACTGGTAACCATTCAGTTTAATGAAGCTTTTTACATTTAATATGCACTATATGAAAGTGGTTCATGTCACCAGTAATGGAGCACGTGAGGCTTTTCAACGTCTTTGGGAGTGATTGTTCAGTCTGTTCGAACTGCCACGTGCAGCTCGCATTTGGTTGAAATTGACAAGCATAAAATAAACATTACCGTTGATCGTTTTGACACACAATAGGTTGGGAAGAGACTCATGGCTCATACCGTTGGAACCAGCGAGCATCTCAAATTACTTTAGAACTGACACCACTGTGTTATTGAACATTGAATGAACTTTCAATTGTTCAAGTGTACCTGACCACCCATTGCCGCATGAATTACTGAGAGAAACATCGTTCTGTGAATCAATTTGTTTCAGCTAAAGACACAGCCCTATAACCATGGGAAAAAAGGTTTAGTCATTAAAGCGTACGTCCGCCAGTCGACAACATCGCTTGAAGTTAGTTCTGTATTGTTGTGCAAGAAGATAGAAGTACTGACATGTGTTCAGTAGTAACATATGTTGTTTTTATTACGTTTTTTACTTGGGGTTGATTGTTCATGCACTCAATGTAAAGATTATCGTCTCTCGGAATTCGACGGGAAGGCCGTTACAGACTTCCAACTAGCTACGTTCCTTCATGTGGAGATGGCTGGGTTATGCACCCAAAGGTGTTCAGAGGACCACAGATGTAGGTCCTACAGGTACAACACCAGGACGAAGACGTGCTCCACCTACGGCTGTGGCTTCTCCCTCCCTACGAAGACGCTGAACCCTGTGTCAGAAGACAATGGATCAAGACTATATCCGTTCTGTGGACGTAAGTAAAGCAAGAAAATCATATGTTAAGATCATTGAATATTTATAATAGACATTTGACTGTAGTTGTCCAGAAACGTCATTGATATTCCTTTGGGAACCAGTATTGCCGTGACACATTTGACCCAGTCGTACGATCCTCTAGTATGTGGTCGCCTTGATATTTTATTGTTTCATTAATGTCAGCTTGATCAAACTGTTGATAAAAACGACAGTCTTTCTTAGAAGGAAATATGCTTTATTGGGTCCACTTGTGTGTTCTTATGTGTTTCCCATATCAACCTGAACCAGCAAGAGAGAAGGCAGGCGAAATTGTTTTATTTTTGTGTATAACCTATTTGTTGAAATCTGAAAATTTAGATCACTTGCACTTGGTAACGTTTTAAAAATTAATTAAATATGCACTTTGTTTCACAAACTACATTTCAAGAAATGTATTTTTAAGGCTGTTCAACTGTGAGAATACTTTTTGTCATATGGTAGCATAACCTTCCAGTCGCGAGATAAATTGAGGTTCTTAAGCTTTCTATTACTGCTAACAACGTGTATAACAAACACGTCATAAAGAACTGTTTCTATGGTCCCGTCCACATTAATATTTGTCAACCTGGTTTGGTCTGTCTGGTCTGGTCTAGTCTCGCTCACAGGAGAATGCACATGGTATTTTAACGATCCTTGCCAAGCTAAATACATTGTGTTAAATCCTAATACAGGATATTTACTATCTCAAAATACACTAGCCTGGTAATCTCTTCATCTTATGATATCATTCTTACACTGTCTCGTCGAAAAGCGCCTCTTATCTCCCAGAAACGTTACCGAAAACATGGCAAATTTCCGTGAAATGCGTGAATTTGGAAAAAATGGCAAAGGGAACATGTCATAATGACAGATAGGCCAAAAATGCTAAAACACATTTTCTATCTGCCCACTGCCCACTCTCTAGAGTAATTGCCTTTTATCCAAAAGAAGCTACTCCCTCCTTTTGGGAGTCTGGGAGACATCACTTTTGCCTTGAGTCCATCTGCCCTGTCATTTCGTAATGAAGTGCGTGCAGAGTGTTTGGGGGTCAACTGCAGTATTTGGGTCCTGCTTCGGGTTTATAAAGAATGTATCCGTAAAGCTGCATTTTTAAATATGAACAGGGCGTGAAAAGTGTGGTTTAAAACTACGACAGAAAATGAAGCCGTGTTCTTTAGAGTCGTCGTGGGTTTGGTTTTGTGTGTGTGTCGACGATACTTAAATAGTGAGTGATCACATAGCATACCTTATATGGACTCTTTGCTACGACTGACTGACTGAGTTTGGTTTTACGCCGCTTTTAGCAATATTCCAGCAATATCACGGCGGGGGGACACCAGAAATGGGTTTCACTCATTGTACCCATGTGGGGATTCAAACCCGGGTCTTCGGCGTGACGAGCCAACGCTTTAACCACTAGACTACCCCACCGCCCCTCTTTGCTGCGAACATTACTTCAATCGTAATACGTTTCACAATTGGTTAGTCGTTCATTGTTTACCTTTGGACGATAAGTTTTATTATTTTCAAGAATGTTTGACAGTGAGATTGTGTATGATGATGTGTATGAATTGTGCAACAATAAGGGGAGACTGTTGGATTGGTGGGAGGATCTATAAGCCCAGCGGATAAGTGATCAAATTATGCACTTTGTGTTTTTTACAACTTTGAAATTTGACTTGATTGTAGCTTATACCATTCTTATTGAATAAAGATCGAGAGGCCTCGCAGATGCTTTATATTTTCCATAATTTTGGGGAAAAAAGTGAAAAAAATATCATTTTTTATACTATTTTCGTCATAATTTTAAAAAACATTCTCCAAAATTCTCAAAAGTCATATATCAAATTGTAGAAAATTCATAGCTGGTCATTTTCCATCTATACATGTCTTTTTATCTTTAACGGTTAGGTCTACGGAAGTCAATTTATATCATGACTACCCGAAAATGGGAAAATTGGCGGCCATTTTAAAAAATGGCCGCCATATAGAGTACACCAGTAAAATAAGTATGACATCATCCCATGATCTAACATATTTTTATCATTTCTTTGCAAATTCAATTCGAGAAGCCTCACAGATTGTGGCCATTTGTCATATTTGGGGGGAAAAGTGGGGGGAAAATGGAATTTTCCCAAAAATGTTATTTTAACTCAATTTTAAATCCTCATAAATTATGTATCTAGAATATTGTGAGAACAAATGAAAGTTCATTTTAAGGAATATATCATTAGATTTACTTACATGTATAATGTATGAGCTTGGTTGACTATAGATCACCTATGAAAACTTATCAAAATCAACGCAAACATATTTCATTTCAATGTCAAAGTAGCTATCTCATTAATCTATGGAAGGTTACTCAATCCTGTGTAATTGTATCTAGGTTGACTGAATCAGAAATGTGCAGTGCACTTAAGAGCTGCTTTTAAACCAGTTTGGACCAGTTTGAACATTTTATACACATGCATTTCAGCAATTCCTGGCAGCCCTTTCATGCCAACAGAAGAGTTGTCCATACAGGTCCAAGCTCTCCCCTAGAGTTATTACCAACCCTATGCAGAGGGCTTGGTAACTCCTGTGATTTCATCAGGGATTGTTCTGAAACATAACTCCCCTGATTCACAGCTCTCTTTATATGTTGGATCAAAGCTGATTCTGTTGGGGGAATATTGTCCAAAGTTCTCCCCTTCGTGGTGAACAAATGCTTTCTTGCTTCATTCACTTTCACGAGGTTGCTTGCTCTGTCATACAGCAGTACATCAAATCTCTCAAGCCGATGAATCAGAATTAGTGATTTCAAGTGGTGGACAGGTGAGGGAAATAGAGGTGCCTGTAAGTTCAGGAAAAATTGTCACAGAATGTGAAGCTGTGAAACATTGGAAGGGATCTACTTTTCTCAGGACCCAGACCTGATGCAAGTTCACGAATTACAATATAGCGAAGAGTTTTCCGGTACCAAACCCCACCCATACTTCTTCAAGATCGAGAATGCCTGTTGCAGCTATGGCCAACACAACCACATCAGTGTCAACAGTACGGCTGTAAAACTTCTTCCATCCTTTATGTGAAGCATCAGCGAAGCAACTTTCTTTTACCTTTTTATCTCTTCATAGTTACAGGGTGCCAATTCCAAAAGGTCTTTTGGTTGATTGGACACCACATATTCGCCAATTGTGATGAATACTTGTTTGATTCTATCAAGGCTATTTTCTGTACAAGGAAAGCAAAAAGTTATTTCTAGCTGGCATCACATCTCGGGAATTCTTGCCAGTTCTGAGGAACTGGCTTCCACTCGTCGTCTTTTTCCACTTCCACTTTTTGTTCTTACACTCGATTTTTACGCTGTCCGTTTTGTATTCGTCCCAGACAATATCCACTCTCTGATTAGTGTCCAGGAGAGACTGCAAGTACTTCAAGAACACATTATCAGCATATTCATCAAATGCTATTGGAGCTGCTGGTTTTAGCATGTTTATTATTGCAGATCAATCAAGGATTGATACGTCAACATCTGGTTTTGAGTCAGTTGATGGTGAAATTTTCTTCATGCAATTGAGAAGAACTGATTTTGCGCATGGACGTAGAGAACCTTGATGAGATATAGTTGGTGAGCAAGACTGATTTTCATGTCTGACAAACCCATCCAGGTTTCCATCCCTTGACTCGTCTGTTTATATCTTGTCTTCATGGAAGAAGTTCTACATCTGTATTGTTGACACAGACGTGGTTGTGTTGGCCATAGCTGCATCAAGCGTTCTCAGTGTTTCACAGCTTCTCAGGCCATGACAGTACGCCATCCTTTGGTGGAATTGAAAAGAAGGCCTCGCGGAATACATGGAATGCTTTTCCTGAACTTACAGGCACCTTTATTTCCTTCGCTTGTCCACCACTTGAAATCCTAATGCACAGATTCATCAGCTTGAGAGTTTTGTTGTACTGCTGTATGACAGTGCAAGCAACCTCATGAAAGTGAATGAAGCAAGAAAACATTCGTTTGCCAAAAAGGGGAGAACACTGGACAATATTCCCCCAACAGAATCATTCCCCCAACAGAATCAACTTTCATCCAACATACTAGTAACTATGGACGAAGGCATGAAAGAGCTGCCGGGAATTGCTGAAATGCATGTGTATAAAATGTTCAAACCGGTCCAAGTGATCTCTCAAATGCACTGCACTTTTCTGATTCAGTCAACCTAGATACAATTACACATGATTGAGTAACATTCCATTGGTTGATGATAGATACTTTGACAGTAATGTTGTGTTGATTTTGATATGTTTTTATAGTTGATCCATAGCCAACCAAGCTCATACATTATACATGTAAGTAAATCTAATGATATATTCCTTAAAATAAACATTCATTTGTTCTCACAATTTTCTAGATACATAATTTATGAGGATTTAAAATTGAGTTAAAATAACATTTTTGGGAAAATTCCATTTTCCCCCCACTTTTCCCCCCAAATATGACAAATGGCCACAATCTGTGAGGCTTCTCGAATTGAATTTGCAAAGAAATGATAAAAATATGTTAGATCATGGGATGATGTCATACTTATTTTACTGATGTACTCTATATGGCGCCAATTTTTCCATTTTCGGGTAGTCATGATATAAATTTACTTCCGTAGACCCAACCGTTAAAGATAAAAGACATGTGTAGATGGATAATGACAAGCTATGAATTTCCTACAATTTGATATATGATTTATGAGAATTTTGAGAATTTTGTAAAAAGTTATGACGAAAATAGTATAAAAAATGAATTTTTTTTTCACTTTTCCCCCCAAATTATGGAAAATATAAAGCATCTGCGAGGCCTCTCGATCTTTATTCAGTTAGAATGGTATAAGCAACAATCATGCCAAGTTTCATGCTTGTAACACAAAGTGCACAATTCAGTGACAAAATTGCACTTATCCGCTGGGCTACTAGGGATGATTGGAAGTATAGGGTCCTTGCTTCAAGTGTGGGAATGTCGTGAATAACAGGATCGGGGACTGTTTGGTATGGTTTGTTGTTTAACGTTGCACTCAGCAGTATTCCAGCTATATAGCGGTAAAGGATCGAGTCTGGACCAGACAATCAAATGTTTCAGCATCATGAGCATCAATCTAAGCAATTTCATTTGGCCTGTTGATGCTGTTGATATAGACACATCAACGAAGCAAAGAAACAGTGAATTGCCTTTGCATGGAAAGTGGGGACCTAAATACTCCAGTCTTCCGGTGGTTTTGTTGTGAACATGCTTTAATGTCCAAAGACACAAAGGGATTGGGCACATGTGCACCACTTGTTATTGCTTGTGTAGAGTGAGATGTACACACTGACAGCTATCGCAACATAAAGAACAAAGTAACCTTCCAAAAATTGTTTTCAGCTAAATACAGCTGTGACAAAAGGAACCAAGGTGAAGAGGTCAACCAGCAGAGATACAGCCCGTTTGAGTCAGAAACGGATCGATGAATTGCAAATTTTTATCATTGTACAAAATTGCCGATTAATATAAATAGTACACATGTTTATCATTTACTAATACCCAACAGCTTTCTTATATTTGAAAAATTTCCGGACTCCACCAAAAAATTCTTTTAAGAAACTATCATTAACATTTTGACACAGTTCACTATTTGTTACGAGGGAGGAGTGCAGTGTAAGGGACAGTCGGGTGTTAGAGAAGCACGTGCACAAGTGCCCACCAAGTTATTGATTCATTAGCCTGTGCTGTGCCCTCTCCATCCTTTCTCTAACATCTGGCTGTCCCTTTCTCTGCACTGTGTCAACATTTTAATAATAGTTTCTTATCAATTTTCTTGGTGGAGTCCGGAAAATTTTCAAATATAAGAAAGCTGTTGGGTATTAGTAAATGATAAACATGTGTACTATTTATATTTCTGTGGCAATTTTGTACAATGACAAAATTTGAAATTCATTGGTCCGTTTCTGACTCAAACGGACTGTAAGGAAAGCGATCCTATTTGTCATGTGTCCCCTTGCCATTATTTCAAGGTGTACATATCTCAAGTTGCGCCTAAATGCCTCAGCTATGCATCACTTATGCTTAGTATCCAAGAGGACTGTTTTCATCGTGATAATAATTATCTTAGTTTCCAGACTCCCATGGCCATTTGCCAAAGCCATGTTTGTTTGTCCTTACACGCGTTCTGACTGGTTTGTCGTATTTTCGCACATAACAATCATTATGAAGGGTGGTGGAGACGTCTTCGCGGGGGTTACAGAAAGGGGCGAGTGGTGACGAATGCCGTAGACGCCACGTTTGTTTGTAAACACTGAAAATAGTTCTTTCATATTTCCATGTCTATCCATATATGGCCCTACCAGATAACGTATGTACCCATTGGCTTTATGCAGCCAAGAAACCAACTGTTTATAAGATAAAAATAATGTTCTTGAAAGTAGTGTTGGTTGAAATATTACAAACATTTCTCGAAGGTCCGTCGTTTGGGATGAAGTGCGTGACGTCATCAAATTGCGCCTTCGAAAACTCAACATGCGTGGACGGCGTCTGTGGATGCGTGACGGGAACCAGCTATGACGTCACGACTGGTGACTGTCTGATTCGTGAGTATTTGTCACATTTGAAAGGGAGTCAAATCATCATGATTTCAAGCGATATTGACCAGGTTTGCTAGTTTTTCATTGACAAATTTGGTTAATACGAAATACGAAATGTACAAGGGTCTTACAGTCCCGTACACCCTTTCAAAACACAGTGTGACGAAATTATCAGCCCTTAGATCTCTTTGTTTAACTTATCTTTAAAAAACAATCATTAAATCCTCGTCAGATTGAGACGCAAAACGTTTCGCCATGATTTATCCTGATCGGCCATAAAGGGAGATAACTCGGGATGGCTTAGTTTATGATAAAAACGATGGAATTTGAGGTTCTGTTAATCACATGTGAAATACAAAACCATTTTTTTTTAAATATTTGTATTGATACAAACAAGTGAGAAATTATGGCTACAGTTTTATTACTCTGTTTATGCTCATAATCGTATTGCTCCCACCTCTGGTTTCTCAATCAAAAGTTCATCAAGACATTTCAGGCAGTACTACACTATTCTGGGTGACGGCCATAAACAGAACAGTTATGCATCGTATGCAGGATTCCAACCATGGACTATTTTTTATGTGCTGATGGACACTCAGTCAACTTGAGTGTACTTTTGATCGTCGTTTGTTTCTATTTGTGATGATTAGTAAAGATACCCTGATCACCTTTATTCTCTTGTGAAGAATGTCACTGTTTCATGCAACTGACTGACTGAGTTTGGTTTTACGCCGCTTTTGGCAATATTCCAGCAACATCACAGCGGGGGACACCAGAAATGGGCTTCACACATTGTTCCCATGTGGGGATTCGAACCCGGGTCTTCGGCGTGACGAGCCAACGCTTTAACCATTAGGCTACCCCACTTCCCCTTCAACTGTAAAAAACAGGCTATAATGTAATAAACGTATTTAGCCTGAACAGGTTTTCTTTTCCATTTGTAGTAAATGTGCTGAATATCCATAAGGTCTACTTATGATTTGTGACAACATACACTTACATTTGATTGGTTGTATTGCAGGTTGCACCGCATACGGCAGTGAAATCAGTACTTACAAGGACTCTGCAATAGATGGTTGCAATGCCAACGCCACTACAACGTCTACAATGCAGGAGTGCTTTGCCACATGCATTCCAGAGACTCGCTTTGTGTGTATCAGTGTGGAGTTTTATCACGCAGATGGAAGATGCCAACTCTGTGACACACCCGCTCTGGAGCTCCCTGAGGGGGACCTTGAGGATGGTATCAGTACTAACTGGACCCTGGCAGTACGACACTGTACATACTGATTATACTGTGTCCATGAATCAGAACGGACAGCAAGATCCTGGACGCTAACTAACAATCGCACAAGTTTTAATAGTCAGTGTCTTGATTTATCTTCTTTTAACTATGCCATCCGTTTCAACGTCATGAGAAAAGCATTTCGTCGCATAATTTGCAATGTTTTAGCAGCTTTTGTGACTGGGGTAATCTAAACACCACGCTCACTGAACTATGAAGAACTCAGCAGCAAATCTCTAAGCTTGTGTGCCTGGTCTATTTAAATGTCATATTATATTATATAATGATCTTGCTACTGGCCAATATGACATCGTCTTTTGTTGGTTGCCCAGTCATGTTGGAATCACTGATAACACAAAGGTTGATTTTGCTGTTAAGGCAGCGCTCAACAAATCTGTATCACCACTTCTGCTACTATACAGTGATCATAAACCTATGACGAGAAATACTGCCGACGGGACTAAAAATCTTAACTCACTCACACTTTTTAAGTATTTATCTTACATTACGTACATTAATTACTCTGCGCTAATATATTGTGTTTAATAACAGGTACTATGTTGATGAGTCGTGAGAATAATAAGGGTTAAAACGTCGTATTTTCAACTTCCAAAATCAGTATCTGGAATGAACCATTCTATACCCACATTTACTGTTACTTGTCATGTGTTGTTCATGTGTTTCCTACAACACTGGTTATGTTCAGACGTGAAGCTCAGATAACCGTTTCGATCAACTTGCACCTATTGTTTTTAATAGTCTGTGTCAATATTGTAGTTTCAAAACAATGTATCATTAACATGCTCGTCAACTGCTCATCACTTGCTCACACCAACTGTTCATGTCTTTTTTAATATTTATCGTATTTGTGAAAGTGGTATACATTAGTTAACCTGCACTAATACATCTTGTTTAATGCCGGGTATTGTATTGAGGGGCCATGCATGTATATGCAAGATGGTATCGATGCCTGCGTGTTGTTTTAGGAGTCGGCTGATTTGGTGTGATGGTTTACCAATGTAGGGAATAGAGACTTGACTGACTGACTTTAGTTTTACGCCGCTTTTAGCAATATTCCAGCAATATCACGGCGGGGGACACCAGAGATGGGCTTAACACATTGTGCCCATGTGGGGAATCGAACCCGGGTCATCGGCGTACGAGCCAACGCCTTAACCACTAGGCTACCCCACCGTCCGAGGGAATAGAGATCTTGATGGGGGCTGAATCAGGCTTGGGTCTATCTGGCTTCATCACCTCTAAGACCATCCTTGTTATCTTGTTATCTTTGTTACACTCAGTATATATACTTTGCCACCATTGTATGTTACATTCCTGCTTGACAACGGTACCACAATCTGTATCGAAACGTCGCACTCTCGTTATAAAGAAGTTGTTATCCATAAAGTTTGTCAATTTTGAAGGTTCAAACGGTATGTGCGAATGCTAACCTTTGCGATTTGGTAAGCTGTGTTCTGATTGGTCAGTCCAAAAGGTTAGCTGACGCGACCTTCTACTAGGTTTTGTTAGACTCAGTATAGCAGTGTAACGAATAATACTGAGCCTAAGTTTACTTAGACTGATGCATTGCCTGCAACACATGTTCAGGCGCATGAAGTTCAGATAGCCGATTCGATCAACTTGCACCTATTTGCTTTTTAATAGTTTCAAAACAATGTGTCATTAACATAATCACCATGCTCGTCAACTGCTAATCACTTACTCACACCAACTCACGCTGGTTCGGATGAGTTCATGTTTGTCACGACACCTTCCTTGGTGACCCTTCAGTATTGACGCTGAGTGTACAATGGGATCTTTATTAGAGCTGGAAAATATAGTGAGCAGGCATTCCTGGAAATGGCTTTGCAAAACTGTAATTTTAGCGACGGTAGGTTGGTAAACACATCAAGACACTGCAGGAGTGCGTGTTTGTGAATTTGAGTTTTCATTAGAGTGAAGAAGAAACAAATTGCTGGACGTCCACCGTAATGACCCTTCTTAATTACTTTGATAAAATAATTTCCTGCTTTATCGAACCACAAAAGCACATTCTTGTGTCAGTCGGACAAGCTGGGCTGAAGCGGACACGTCCCTTAAAATGAAGCCCTTGTCTTCTTTCATTGCAGTTCGGAAAGAAGTTGAAGATGTGTGTGATGTACCATGATGGCAATAAACACCTTACATACACAATTGTTTGGTATTTGAAGTCAAATTAACAAATGTTATCGCGGGTATACCACTTTGTTAGTGGAGTACAAATACCAGTTGGCCTTGTGTCCCAGTGTACCAAATGTCATTACAGGCCTTACACTGTGTTAGTAGGGTACACGTGATTTGAGAGGCTCGATGGTTCTAAGGAAATGAGCCATTAATCTTTTCCCAACCTGTTTTGTGTCAGTTCAATCAATGGCAATGTTTATTTCATGTTTGTCAATTCTTAATCGAATGCGAGCTGCACGAACAATCACTCGCAATATACAGTTTAAAATACCGACGTGCAGCATCAATGTTGTGTGAACTTTCACATAGTACATATTAAATATTGAATCTTCTGTGTTCGTTACAAAGAGATGGGTTTCCGTGCCAATTAGTGAAGTTAAAAGAACACAAACTTGAAATGAACGAATTAGTAAACTTAGATGGCTGTCAGTGAATTGTATTAACACTGCATCCGGCATTATCCCAGCCACATAGCATCGAAACCATGTTTACACTGTTAAGTATTGATTTTCAAATTGAAACAAAACAATAGTAGTTAACCGGGAAAGAAGTGCGTTAAAAGGTGGCGTGAAACCCAACAAACAACAAAGTGTGATACGATTTATATTTGTATTCTAACTTAACTAAGGTTTCAAATTAATGCATGCATCATGTGCGTTTCATTGCCGACTTGCACGGTCAACGGCTTCACATTATCTAAAAGTGAACAGTCGGAAGATGACAGTGGATTGTAGATACTGATGAACGTCAAAAGAGATACAAAATACAAGATCTTTGGTGGACCTTGAAATTCGCTATTCTCTAGTGATTTAACCTCCAAAGTGATTAAGCGATCAAGTTAATAATGCATAGGGACAATTATTTATAATAGTGTGGTGTCGTCCATAGCTGGTCCCTTGAGGGTGTACTGTTTTCTTTGACCAATGTAGGTTGTTAGTTTGTTCATGGCCTTCAACGATACACTCAGAGATACTTCGGCTCAACCACGGTATCTCCATCAGCGTTTTGATGAAGCCGATTCACTTAATCAATATATACTCATGGAAACGAATAAGCTCATTGTGAACACATGAAAATACAAGTGTTCCTTTATCCTTTTCCATGTTTCTTCACAAGGTATGTATTGCACTGTGTGTGAAATTCTGGAAATAAATAAAGGAACACTTGCACTTTCATATGTTCCCTTATTCGTTTCTCTGAGTATATAAAGTGTCCCGATATCAGTCATTTTATAAATTCCCTAAAAACAGTACTTTTTATGAAGTTCGAAAGTGACTTTGTTTTCTTTCATTCCTGATATTTTTACCACTGGCAGATGTTTTGATCTGTCATCACAATAATCAAGAGAGAAATATCAATGGGTAAAAAGATGGTTAGTTTGTCCAATTAATTCCAATACGAAACATCTCCGTTGATCAAAGTGAATATACGCCCTTATACTACCAATTGCCTTATACTATCAATTGCGTAGAGATCAAAACCCAGTCAAGAATTCTGGGATATCATCCGGGTACTCGCGGGAGATAAACAATAACTACGAAAAAGCAACAACCAGGGGAACGTTTCGAGAATCAGGGAATTGCTCTGGATCAGGTTTGGACAGGTTTGGTTAAAAGGCACGAATCCGTCAGTCGACAAGAAGTTAGTTCCTGCCGTGCATGAAGACAGAAGGACTGATGCGTGCAGTGGTAAAATACGTAATGGATGGTTCACGGGTTCGAGACACCGACGTATGTATTCATTGGCTTTATACTGCCATGCCAAAAACAGCTACTCTTTGTAAGATATAATATTCTTGAAACAGTTGGATGAAATATTGTAAACTTATTTAACTTGAAGGTCCGTCGTTTGGGATGAAGTGTGTGACGTCATCAAATTGCGCTTCGGAAACTCAACATGCGTAGACGCGTCTGTGCATGCGTGACGGGAACCAGCTATGACTTCACGACTGGTAACTGCCTGATTCGTGTGTATTTGGTATTAGCGGGGAGATTTGGAAGTTGGTAATGATGTCGAGCACTGGGTGGTTTAAGACACTGTAAATTCGTGTCCCTAAGCAACCTCCGTAGAGGAGCGGGCTGTGAAAAAAGAGTCTCTTTCGTCAAGATTGCTTAAATCCCGGGCAAACCATTGTTTGGTTGTCATTACGAGTGTTTGTTTGTTGTTCAAGTTGCACAAAGCTGAGATTGAGCTGTGTAGCAAGCAGCAGCAAGCCATAATGCTCACATTCACAACGTCAGATGACAAAAACCTTCAACTGCAGCCATGCCACCATCAGCAAACTGATAACCCGCTACCAACAAACAGGTCAGACCAAGCGTCACGACACTGGCCGAAGACCGCTACATCCGGCAGATCTACCTTTGGCACAGATTCGTCGCGGCGACAGCACTGGGACATGCCATTAGCAGACGAACAGTCCTTCGACGACTTGGCATGGCTGGTATACGAACCTACCGCCCCTTCCGGGGAATGGCCTTGCCCCGTCTACACCGTCAACGCAGACTGCAATGGGCACAAACTGTACCTCGGTGGTAGCGACGTGTTTGGGAGAGTGTGCTCTTTACAGGTGAAAGTCTGTTCAATCTGTTCAGAAACGATGGCAGAGTTGGAGTTTTTCGACGTAGAGGAGAGCGACTGGCGCCAAACTGCGTTCAAGAAGTTCACCGTTCGATGGAGGAGGCGCCATGGTAAGGCGCGGACTTGGCGACAGAGAACAATACTGGTTATCATCCGAGGAAATGTTAATGCCAAGCGATACATGGATGAAGTGTTGATTCCTTTTGTGCTGCCTAGAGGGGTCATTTTGCACAACGACAACGCAAGGCCTCACACCGCCAAAATTGTTGGAGCATACCTGCACAACGTTAACGTCAA